TAAATGAGTGGAGAAACATAATAAATGTACGTTGATTCATGGTTCACTGAATAGTCTCAATGTAAATACTGTGGATTTCACACATTATAGTATACAGCACATCGGCCTTGCTGCCAATTTGTTTCAGTGGCTAACTATGGTGCTACAGCAACAACAAAAACTGTGAATCCATAGTCATTATAAAAAAAACATCTGAAACATCAAACAAGGGACATAATTACTCTCTGTATTATGGCTTTTTCATCCATGATGTTCAAGAAAAGCAATTTTTATGTGCAGGCAAAGAGTGAGTGCCCATGTGGAGTAGGTTGCACCACAACACAGAAACAACCTGTTTTTGGCATCTGTGCTGGGTGAGCAGCGTTCAGTGAAACAAATGGGTGCCATTTTGTAGCCTGGTGTCCAGTTCTCACAGTACAACCACGCTTAGAACCCCTGATGTGACTGTTTATTGGAAAAAACAGTTTTCACCAACCTCAACAACCCATCTTCTCCGCCCTAACCAAGTACATAAATTCTTTTTTGTGTGGATATGGATGTGTATGGAGGAGACTGTCCTCCAAAGACAACAGCAACAGCATCGAAAACAACACTGTGACAGCGCCCTCTAACAGCCGTAGTCATCATGGCGGGAACAAAAGAGGAAGTGAAGTGAAATCTTTAAAGAGCAGAGGGAGGAGGTCGGTTGGATGGATGGATCAACAAAAACATCTCTGATTAACAAAAAGATCACTGTTTCCCAAGTGACAGTCAACTTTTTTTTTTTAAGCCTGACCATGATCATTCGCTTCCCAACATTAACAACCCCTTTATTACTGTATCCATGACGACAGAGGTCCTCTAACCTTAATGAAGTAGTAAGTTTAACCCAAACCATGATGTTTCCCGCACCTGATCAAAGTCCTTATTTGAACCCAAACCATGATCACCAAGTTGTTTTTGTTCCTAAACTTAACCAAAACTCAACCATAGAGTTGCCACATCATAATCATTTTTTAACTGCAACAAAATTGGAGGCCACAGGCAAATTATGTTGTTCTGACATAGAAAAATAAAAAAGCTTCAGTGTGTCTTCTAGAGGAACATATCTTATCTGGATCAATTTGGACAACTTGTTGGCATGGAGACGTACTTTCTGTCTCTCTCTGACTTGCCTCAGCTTGCCTCCATTTGGAACAGCCATTGACAGTTGTCACTATCTATGTCCTTATAACCCACCTAACATACACACGCACACATACACACAGTGTAATGTGCATAGTGCATTGCACAGCATGTGCACAGTCTGCAAGCACTGACGCACATCCTGTGCATGTTTTGTGTTGTCTGAGTGTGCGCGTCTTACAGCAATGACACTGTATGAAGTTTAAAACCCCACTCGTTTGTTCTTTGAGGTGCAGATAGTAATCTTTGCTTTACATGATCTATTTCTGTGCACTGTCTGACACACACCCACACACACAGAGTCGTGGACGATAACACATATAGAATAGGGAATGATGTGAGAGCGAGGGAGCGAGATAGAGACAGAGAGAAAGAGGCTGTTTGGATGACATAGTTCATATCATCCTTGATACAAAGCCGTCTGTTACACAGGAAGAGGAAGTGACACCGCTGACACACACACACATAATACGCTGTTTCTTCTACCAGCCAGACTGTTTGCAGCTATCACACATTTTAAAAGCAAGGAAAGAAAAAAGGCCAGACTTTACTCTTCAGCATCCAACATCACTCTTCTGTCTAGCATCAATCCTTATTTTTAGGCTAATCTGTAGCTCCGCAGCCATTGCACAAGTTCTTATTTATGTATAATCCTGAATCTGTTCATAGTCTCTGCTGTAACAGCACCTTTTGCTTAATCTATTATGCACAAGCGCTTCATTCTGCCACTTCTCCTTTCTCTGTTTTGTTTTGTGATTAAAAATGCAAAATGTGACTTCCTTACCTACATGATCCTTAATGCTCATTGTGGGCAAAGGGCAGAGGCTGAGGCCTAATGCTTGTAGCTTTATACATAGAAAACGAAGCTTATTACATTGTTAACCTCATTATTAGGTCTCCTTTGATATGAAACATGACCTAAATATTTGTACTTTAAAAAAGCTTATTTTAAGCCAGGACTTCCTTTTTTTATAGTTATGTTTCTACAGTAGCCCAGAGTTTCTCCTATACACTTTACAGCCATTTTATTTCCCAGGTAATTTGTTTCATTATTACATGATACGTTGTCATAAAAAATAACTAAGGATTTCATTAAAACAAAAAAAACCTTCTGGTTGAAACAAGAGGTTGTTTTTTGTCTCTTTCGTCATGGTCACTGATGCTGTCATTGTTAAAGCAGCACATTAAGTGCATCCTATCTCGTCATACTCAAACTGTAAAGCAAATCCAATCACTCCAACACAAACTGTCTCTGAACACTCAGACATTCCTAATGACTCCTCTTGCGCGCACAGAGATCAGAATAAGATAATTTTACAAACTGTTCGTTTTGGAGTGGAGCTAATATACAGAAACTTTACATGATGCCAGGCAGCAGGACCATGAAAGTGAGCTTTTTCATTTACACTCCCAGCCGAGGTCACACCTCTGGTAACGAAGCTGGACGGTTGCCCCGGCAACCAGCCAGGAGAAAACAGCGAGAGTAATTCTGGTTAAATGAATACAGCTCAGCTCTCTCTTGTCTTGCCGTCTGTTTCTCTGTGTGGGTCTCTCCCTCTCTCATGACAAGTGGATCAGCCATTTTAAATTGTATTGATGGTTATTATTACATGGAAGGTCTTTTTCCACCATTTTCTCTTTGGTTTTTTAGAGAATCTCTACTCCGGTCAGGAGTTTCTTCTCATATGTTTAAATCTATCATCACTTTTCACATATAATGTCATAAAACACAATTTCAACCAAATTTACTAAATTTTAAGAAATTTACTTGAGGTAATTTTACTTTTACAACTGGATTTTCTTACTAAAACATTTTGTTAGTAAATTCAATTTGCCATTACTGCCCTTTTTCTTTGCACCTGAAGTTTCATTTGTTGTATAACTTTTTTCACAGCTTTCGCAAGTCCATTCTCAAATTAGACCTCACAACTTTTCCTGCTTAAACATCTTCTTACCTGCAAACCATACTTTATGTGACCTCATGACCCCATGTCATGACATCAACTGTCAACTCTGTCTGCCTGTGTTATGATTGCTTGCTATAACCATCACACACATGCACACACACACACACACACACACACAGTTATAAGTTGTATGTGTCCTACC